GGCGGGGGTCTGAGGGGGTCTCGTTGGCTGGCGGGGCGCCGGCGTTCCTCGGGCTGCTCTTCGACCCCGGCACTCTGTGGGGGCTGAGGTGCGTGCCCCGCGGGAGCGGCCCGTCAGAAGGGCGAAGCCTGAGGGGAAACGGCGGGGGCTGGCCCCGAAGGGCACGGCGTGCCCGCGTGGGGAAGCGGGGCTCGGGCCCGTACTGGGGACGCGGGGACGCAAGGGTGAAGGAAGGCGAGGCTGGAAACATTCAAGGCCAGGTTGGACGGGGCTCTGAGCAGCCTGATCTAGTTAGCGGTGTCCCTGCTCCTGCGGGGGGTTGGACTAGATGACTTCTAGGGGTCCCTTCCAACCCAAAACATTCTATGGTTCTATGATTCTATGAAAGGGGCAGCGGCAGCTCTGAAGGGGACAGGTACACCTGAGCCCACCCAGTGAAACCTTGGCCTTGGTGGTGCCTAAGGCACAAGCTCCAACGAAGCCTTTCCCACAGCTGGGGCGTCCTTGGCTCCTCTCCTCCATGCATGCCCGAGCTCCACATGTTTTTATGAGGTCTGTAGGAACTCCCTCCCCAACTTCCGTTTGTCCAGCCCGATGGAAATTGCCTCATGCCTTGAGAAATGGCTGCACTCACTTCACAAGCTCCTCACTCTCCGCCTTACTTAATGGAAGAGCCCTGTTCTGCACGGCAGCCGTTTACCGAGGCAGTGCCGTGGCATTTGTCTCCATTAAGGGCACAGAATCTCTGCCATTGCCTGCCAGTATACTCCCGGAGCACGAGGGGGAAGAGACTAATAAGGAGCCAGGCCAGCATACAGGACAGTGTTCAGCCCAAACCTCGGTCATTGATCAGGGATGGAGTACAACTGCTGACAAGGCGTTTTTCTGGAATTCCCTCATTCACTCAACATCAAATCCGATTTGCAGAAATAAATAATTTAGGAATAAATTCCAGAACCAGTATATAGAGTAATGGAGAGTTCAGGACTTAGAGTATCAATGTGCTTTCCGCTCAGAGCATTTTTTTATGCTGTAGCAGGGCCGGACTGTTACTGCTGAACAATAAAATTTGGATTAAACAAGGGTTAAGAAATTGTTACATCTGAAAGTACGTTAGCAGAGGCATTTACTACAGAGAAAAGGTTGTTGCCTGAAAAATAGATTGTATCTTAAAAGTATGTTAATCCTAAATTAAGGTTTCAGATACTTAACTCTTGTGGTATTTTCTACTTCTTTATTTACTTTCACAATCACCTTTTCCTGGGGGGGAGGGGAGGACCTGCAAAAAATTTATGGAAAGGAATGCAATTACTCATTCTGGAATATGAACAGACATTCCTCAAAATACTTTGGGATATTTAAGGTTCCCTGGCCAAAGTTTTAGATTCTTAAATGCCCTTAAAAACCTAGCAGTTGGTTCTGTATAAAAAAAAAATCATGGGCTTACATTTTTTTCCACATGTGGTGACTTTATTCAGGTAAAGTTAAGATATATTCTTACCTAACTTACGGAGACTTCTGAATATATCGCTTCTTACTATCTGGAAGGACTTTACTCCATATAGTATGTAAGTTTATTTTTTTTTTCCGTAGGGTAGAAAATACCACCAAAGACATCAGAAGTGCAGTGTCTTAATACAACAGGAAGATGGATTTGCTGTATTCTTAAAAAGAATTATGTAAAGAATAGGAAGACAATGACAGAAAGAAAAAATATGCTTTACTGTCTTGAAAACTGACCAAAATAAAATCATTTCCCACTTCACTATGCATTAGCAGCAGCACAGACTAAGATTTGCTCTGTTGTATCAGAATATTATGGAGCTGATATATGCTATATTAATTTAAATTTTCCCTGTAGAAAGAATAAAAGTAAGTTTTAGGGCTCCCCTGTGTATTAAACCAGCACTCATCTTAGTCTGAAATACTGCAGCATAAGCTGATATGTGCTATCCACACAAGTAGAAACATATGTGGATATGAACAATGCTTGATTTATTTAGAGATAAGCTA